TTCAGCTTTTGTCCGTCACAGAGGTCCAAATGGCCACCACCACCCTTTTATAGCCTGTGGGGTGTGGTCCAGTGACTCAGCTTAATCTCTGGCACGTCTCTTTTTCTGCTGCGCACGCTTGTCGCTCCTACGCTGGCGTGGATCCAGCCACAACTTTTCTTCCTCATTATCCGACACACCTGGCTCCTGGCCAATCTGAAAAACACCGGGCTCCTGGCCAATCTCAGAACCACCTGGCTCCTGGTCAATCTCTTCTCTGTCGGAAGACACCTGAGGCATTCCCAAAGAGGAGGGTCCTGGAGAGGGAGGCCTGGCCATCTCCTCTCCTTCATGTTCGGAGCCTTCTTCCTCCGATAAGAGGGGCTCACAAGACGGAGCCACAACAGTATGTATAAGCCATATGATAACACACAGCCCATTCATATAGTCTGGGTATGTTTAATCAGCAGGCAAAGTTTGAGATGGAGAGAATGAGGGATGATAGCACTATCAGTGGAGGACTATTTATCCAAGATGGATAAATTATATAAGTTGCAACATGAATTTGCCATTGAAGTAGACAGAAAGTCTGCTGAAAAATCAGAATAGGTCAGTAGCAAAACATAGGACCAACATCTGATAAGTGCAGTCAGTAATGTTAAGGGGACCAACTGATGATACTTATCTTGTTTTTATAGGAACAAGTTTATAGTCAAGAGCTACTTATGAACTTGCTTTTGAATGAGAATTGCAGATCTTTATCAACTTAGGCTTAGACTGGTAAAGCTAGAGTTTGAAGGTGATCCCAACATATGTTAAAAGCCATTCAGTTTTGCATTAAGTGAAGCTATTTATACAGGCTATTTAGAAGCTTCATTATTATTATTATTACTATTACTACTATTATTTAAATTTATATACTGCATTACTCTTATAAGTTCTGGCCTGTTCTTACAAATTATTTAAAATATTAATAATCTTATTGTCCAAAAGATCAGCTAATGAAGCAATTTAAATCTGAAATTAACCATGAAGCGGTGAGTGAGATGTGTTGGGGTAGAACCAGACTGGAATGGCTTTTGCCGAGGAGTTGGCAATGGCCCACTGTAGAGTGGCCTCTGGTCGGATGGCAGCGGCTGAACTGGAACAAAATTGTCCAAATCATCCTCTTCATCTTCCTTATCGAGGTCAGAATTAGCTTTCAGCAATCCAGTATCTATGAAAGGCAGATAGATCATATCAAGACGTTTTATAGCATCTTCACAAGGCTGGCAGCCAAACTGGCAGCATTACAAATGATTATATATTTATAGTTGCCCCAACATTCACAGTCCCTCCCTCTGCTCCGAACCTCCCACTTTGGGAAATCCTCACCTAGGGAGTTCTCATCATCTTCTATTATTGCGCCTCGGTTTCTGGGACGTCCCGACATTATCTTAAAGTCATCTTCATCTTCATCGTTTGTTGCTGCCTTAGAGCCCCAGTCATCCTCACTGAAATCCCTATTCAGAAAGTCCTCTTTGGCATCCTCATCAAAAAGGTCATCATAGCTTTTGCTGGAAGCATTAGGTGCCTAAAGTCAGGATTTAACAGTATACCAAATTAGCAAACATTTTTTAAAAAAGGAAAGATCTGCCTTCCAGCCAATAAACGTCAGATTCATATATTTAGGTTCATAATCACAAAGTTAATAGAAAAAACAAGGTAACTTCCAATTTATATTACCTTATGTATTGATTTCTTCCTTTCTATATCACAGACATTCTCAAGTAGTCCAAGATTGCCTTCTGTATCTGTATAAGCAAGCTGGCCACCTTTGGGATGCCATGCCAGACCACAGACAGTGTAACCTTTATCGTGTTTCACCCTAAAAAAAGGCAAGAATAATAATAAAAGATGCATCTGAAATCATTCAGACAAGAAGACCTTTGCTTAGCTGCTGCTAAGGCCTAATGGTCTTAAACCAGCTGTCCCCAACCTTTGTGGCTTGGCGGCTTGACGGGGGGGGGATAGAGGGGAACCAAGCCGCACAAGTAGCAGGCCAGTGCGCATACGCATGCACACGCAGCTCGACTTGCACAAGTTGAGCTGCATGTGTGTGTGTGCACGCACATTAGCCTACCGCTCACACAAGCGTGTGGTGCCTGCCTGCTGCTCACATGGCCCAATTCCAAACAGGGATTGCGGGTTGGGGACCCTTGTTTTAAACTATGTGCTAAACCAAAACCAAACAATTAACTTTATGCTACTTGATAAAAAAGTGTGAATGAAGAAAGTCTCAAAATTTGCCAGTTTTGATTTTATGGTATAGGTTGTCCAAACCTTTTATGTCATATATTAGTGGTTCCCATAAGTTTTCTTTGTCTTTGCAAAAGCCCATCTTTGTAAGAGATACAGAAACCGAGTGATACCTTTCCAGGCATTCTTGTGTTTCCACTTTCCAAATGACTATATAGCCACCGATACTTCCAGCTGCCAAATATTGTCCACAAGGAGACCAGGCCACAATATTTAGGGGCTAACATGGGGGAAAAAAAACAAGTCCTTGATATTAATAAATTCTTTGGCTAAGATTGTGTTTGATGTACTCATTCTTTGAGCAGAGGGTGAAAGATGTTTTAGCGGCTTTTTTTTGTTGTTGTTAATTTGTTTGTATCATGTTACAGTACTGTTTTGGAGGAGGACAGAGAGATGAAGAGAAGGGATTGAGAAAGTCAAGACAACAAATTTATATCTGGGCAGAAAACCTGTGGCAATGGCAGAATTGTGCTGGTACACAGATCCCAGAAATTCATTATAGCAGTGGGTCATAGAGGGCTTGGCCATAGGTTTGGGGTGACTAACAGAAATTAGTCACAGGAGTGTGCAGAAGCAAGAAGCAATGGCAGCCTGGAGTCTTATCCAGAAGAAATTATTTTGGGGATGTTGGACATTAGAGGAGTCGGAAGGCCAAGGAACAGCTGCAGGATTCAAACTGGAAGCCACAGCCATCCTACAGCCTGGACAGTCCATCTTGGGACTATTAATGGTGGTGAGATAGGAGTCTCAGCAGACTGAGCAGTGGAGACCAGCCTGGAAGCCTACCACTTAACCATAATAAAACACAGGCTGAATTGTCTGGTTTCAGCCATGCCAGAAGGTAAGTTCTATTTGGATCCATGGACAACAGAGGGAGATAATTGGATGGGGTTTTTTTTACGATCATCATCCATATGAAAAGTAGAAATTTGGAAATTAGATTGGATGCCCCTCTAGGGGGCTGAGTAGGCAAGCAGGGACTTCCTTTTTTCCCTTAGCCAGGAGCCTAGTAAAGGACTACCAAGATAGAATAAAAGAGAACAGATTTTTTGCATTGCTTTTTGGTAAGAATAGGTGTGTTGAAGTAGTTTGCCAGCTATTGTTAAGAGGAAAGCACACTTGTGTAACAGGCAGCACAACTATTGCTTTGCAAGATTTTACACAGCTCATAAAGCAAAGGAACCTTAACCTCTGATTACTACTATTGATCATAGGTCTCTGCTTTTACTCGGACATACATACATAAGCCAAATATCAAACAGACTTCCATTTAGCACCAAACTCTTTCATAAACAGACTGACTAACAATCAATCAGCTTAAGAAAATATGATTTTCTCTTCCCTGACACCAAGCAAACATTACTTAGAACAAGAGCAGATTAAAAAGCAGCTTTCTAAAAGGATACCAACCTGTGTGATAAAATTATCTGATAGATCCAGTTCATGATCCCACGTTTCTCTTCTATATACTTTGATTATTTTTTCTACTGGAATGGCTAGCAGCTATTTAGGGAGAAAAAAATGTTAATAAGATGGACCTGATTTTTAAATACTTTTTTAATAAGTCCTATCCTGGTTTTGTTTATAAAAAAACTCACAGGGGACAAAGACTTAGTCTGCACACATCTGGGTAAGCTATAATGGGACTGGTTTTTAGTTTAGTGTGATTTGTGAACATAAATATTGGCCATGATGGCTTGTTCAACATGGCCAATAAATCTTATAAATAAATGGTTAAATATCTTGGTTTCAAATCAAGAAACCGTGGAATACATTTCAACCACAAATAGCTGGAAGGGACCTCGGAGGTCTTCTAGTCCAACCCTCTGCTCAAGCAGGAGACCCTACTTCATTCTAGACAAATGGTTGTCCAGTCTCTTTTTGAAAGCCTTCAGTGATGGAGCACCCACAACTTCTGAAAGCAAGTTATTCTATTAATTAATTACTCTCATCATTAGGAAATTTCTCCTTAGTTCTAGGTTGCATCTCTCCTTGATTAGTTTCCAACTATTGTTTCTTGTCTTGCCTATTGGTGCTTTGGAAAATAGTTTGACCACCTCGTCTTTGCGGGAGCCCCTCAAATATTGGAACAGTGCTGTCATATCCCTCCTAGTCCTTCTTTTCATTAGACTAAACATACTCAATTCCTGTAACCTTTCTTCGTATGTTTTAGCTTCCGGTCCCCTAATCATTTTTGTTGCTCTTCTCTGCACTTTTTCAAGAGTCATACAGATTGTATCTTATTCCAGAAAAACTTTTCATAAACTATTGAACCAAGCCTCAAGAGGTAGTAAGTGTCAAGCAATCACAGATGTTACGTTGAGTTAGAATAGGGCAGGATTTTAAAATCCCTTTGTGAGTCCTCAAGAGCAATAAAATCTTAATAAATATCCTATTTCAATCAAACACCTACATCAGTGATGGCGAACCTTTTAGAGACCGAGTGCCCAAACTGCAACCCAAAACCCACTTATTTATTGCCGGGTGCCAGGTGGGCGTGGCTGTGGTGGTCATGGCAGAGTGGGTAGGTGTGGCCAAGGTGGGCATGGTCACCTCGATGTTGCTCGTGGGGAGGGCTGCCTGTGGGGGCTGGGCAGGGTTGGGGGAGATCCAGGGGGTCTCTGGCAGGTTGGGCGGTGGGCAGGAGGCTCGTCCTGCAGGGTGAGGCAAGGCAGGGCGGGGGTGCCATTGATGCAGGGCAAGGCAAGGCAGGGGCCGGGGCAGCTGCTGCCTGACACCGGCGCACTCTGGGGCTCTGCAGCCCACCGCTAGCAGTTCAGAGAAGCCGCCTCTGAGCTGGACGGCCGGCTGACAGCTGAGGAGGCGATGCAGTGAGTCGTGCCTGGGAAAAGGAGAGCATGCGAGACCAGGAGGGATGGGACGAGGGGAGGGAAACCACCCATGCTGGGATGCATCCGGCCACGTGGGACTCGGCGAGTTAGCAGGCGGCTGGTTGAAGAGGGATAGTTGCCATCTCCAGGGCATGGCGCGCATGCCCACAGAGAGGGCTCTGAGTACCGCCTCTGGCACTCATGCCATAGGTTCGCCATCACTGACCTACATGGTAACATGCCAAGCATCAGCAACTTAATTTGTCATGCCTACTTTAATGAGAATCCTCTAGCCCATTCCAGGTCAATCACTAATGACTAGAATTAGCCTAGATGAGAAATGGGGCTTTTCACCAAAATTATTAAGACTTCACTCTCCCTCAATCGTCACAATCCAGGGCAAGCATGATATGCAGACTCCTTTGCTTCTGGCTACTCTGCATGCTCACTTCTTTTCCAGAACTGACTGCTAAAACACTTTTCTGAATGTAACCTAAATACTGTATTTGTAACCTAGAAATGCTGCTATTAGCTTTATAGTATCATTCCTGAGGTATTATTTACTACAGGGATCCGCAACCTATGGTCCATGGCCCAATGCTGGGCCATGGCCTACTGGCCACTAGGTGTGTGTGCGCACTCACCCCCACTCACAATAGAGCCCGCAGACTCGTTTGCGCATGTGCATGATGTTAGCAGCGGCGGCAGCTAGCACATGCATGAATGCACAAGCAGGGGGCCGCTAGCCGTGCGGGTGCACGCAGTCCTTTTTGTACACGCACTTGCGCAAATTTCACAGCTGCTCCCTTTCCCTCCGGGCCGCCAGCATGAAAAGGTTGGTGACCTCTGCTTTACTGGATAACTCTCATCTCCTCTGATATATTTTTTTGTTTCCACTTGCTTTGTCCAGGTGAATACTGCTTGTTCTCCTCCTGTTCTTTATGACTTTTCTGATGCTTTTCAAAAATGAATTGAATTTTCCTTCCAACTCCTCCCTCTACTGCTGCTAGTTTTTCTTACTTCTCTTTTCTCACTACAACGCTTTTTGCAAGCGAACAAAGTTCTCAGAAAATGGGCAAAAGGAATGATGAGTTGTCCAAGAAAGCCTGGAACTTTCAGGATCCTGTAACTTCTTGGCGTAAAGAAAGGGAAGGGCATCTTTCCTCCCCATAGTTTCTCCCATTATTTTCCTCTGATTCTTCCAAAGCAGCAAAGAGGAAATGGGGCAATAGGTAACCTGGACTTCCACTGTGTCTCTTCACTTTTTTACTATTTTGCGGGAGCTCTCACAAGCAAGGAAATCAAGAAGGAAGCTTTGGTGTTGCCATCTACCCACTTATGTAAGTCAGCATGCGTCTGCACACATGTACTCATCCCACAGAGGCATCCATATAAAACAGCAGTGACATCCAAATTATGACATGTGCCATCAGCACTGCTTCTTGCAGACCCTCATAACGGATGCCTATGTGCACACATGCATACGCATGTACGCACACACTACAACAAAAAATAGATAAGCGACTTATTACCTTTCCGATTTTCGGTTGCCAGGACAGTCTACATAGGGATTTTGCATTTATCACATCATTACATTTTTGCAGCAGCGGCCAGCTTATCTCACAATTCTGGAAGTAAAATAAGATAACGGGGGTTAACTAGCTTGATATAAACCTTTCTGAAATATAAAGTATTTGCAAGAAGTGGGTGTAGGGTAATTGCTGGAACATTAAAGATCCAGGTTTAGGGTCATCCAGACACAAAACACCCTGGATAGTTTTAACAAGTTTATCAAACTAATTCATGCGACAGCCCTGTTTTTTCAGTCAATTGCTTTAAAAGAGGTTCCTCTTCCAATGTAAATAAAAATTAATTACTGCTTCTCACATGATTTTCTTACTATATCCTGGGATTTCTTGAATTATTAAGAGTTCCTCACTAAGAAGGCAAGTAACAACATGCATCATCCATAAAAAGAGCTGGACTATCACAACCAATTTTCAAGACAAAATATTCCTAAACGTAGTATTTATAATTGACTATATTGTATATATTAAGGTTTGTGTTCTAGGTCTTACTGAATACAAAAAGGTTTATTCCAAATTGCTAAAAGAATTATAGTCTGCAAATTGCTGCATATTAGTTCCACACTGACACGCCAAATTTGCATTAGGATTTAAATCAAGATTTAAAACGGGAAACAGAAAATATTATTTACCTGTTCTGAAATTTTCCACACTCTGACAGATCCATCACAGCTAGCCGATGCCTGTAAAATGAACATTTTTAAAGATAATAGCACCTGGCATTGCTCATTGCCTAGTATTTACATTTAAAATGTCGGAGTTCAGTATCATGACACTTTATGAAGCCACATCTTTGCTGACATACTTTTCCTGAAACACCCCACTCTGGAGGAAAATAAATGCTTTTTTAAGCAGAAAGGCAGGACATTTTAATACATAAATTATTTAAAACCTGGGTACTTTTTACCTATCATGTAGTCCAACAAATATACCTTTCCACCTATTTAAGCTATCTACGTAAAAAAAAGGAGTCCATGCGGATTTTACTCTGTTAGTTGTTGCCGACTATAGGGATGATGCTCACCTCCATTTCAAGGCTATCGAGTCACTGTCCGAAGACATTTCTGTGGTCATGTGGCCAGCATGACATCATGGAGTGGTACCTATTTACCTACTCACATTTCCATGCTTTTGAATTGCTAAGTTGGCAGGAGATGGGGCAAGGACAGGAACACATGCCATCATGTGGAGTTCAGCCTCAAACCAAGTTGCCATCTTTCCAGTCAACAAGCCCAGTGTCTTAACTGCTAAGCCAATGCACTGCTATCTATGTGATGAAATATTTTGAGAAAGTGAATCCCCAAGAGGTGGGGGTGCATTCCAGAGAAGCAAATGGCAACTCAGTCCTAAGACAGCCCTCCCTAATAGTACGAGTATACTGTAGATGCAAATAGTAGTGCTCAGTCTGGCAAAGTTTTGTCTATAGGTGTGAAAACAATAAAGAATTCAGCTGGGAAGAACCATCACATGTCATTTTTGGTTTCAT